TTTTCTTTACAAAAATACCAAACCCGTTCACATGGCCGATAACTAATTTTTAGATTTTTGCCCACTTAGGCGGCACTGTGCGTCCTCAAAGAACTTTTTCGATGTCTCCTCAATCCACCTATTTATGGCACGTTTTGCGTCAGTTTAACTTTCAAATCGAGGGTTTTTCAAATCTGGGAACAGATGATAATCACTGGGTGTGTGATCCGAGGGGAATAAGGTGGGTGCGGAAGCATTTCCCATCGTAAATCGTTCGAAACATCTTTCGTTTTTCTTGTGGTGTGTGGTCTTGCCTTATCCTGTTGCAATTGCGGACGCTTATATAACTTTCCAAGTGGTTTTTTTTGGCAAATACCTGTCGCATTGGTCCGCATTTCCACAAAACGAAAATTATTGCTCTTTGAGATTTTGCTGTGTCTGTAATGGTTACAAAAACACTGCTATGAAAACGCATCTGTATCAATCGAACAGCTAATATTGCACTTGATAGTTGCATAAACATGTCAAAACTTGTCCAATAATATTGCCTATAAGTTCTCGGTGATTTTTTTAAAGCACAATTCCAAGAACTTTGGAAACATCCCTCGTTAATAGGAAAAAAATATATTTTAGAATGTTTTTTTATGAAAATATAGCTTACTATCTAAAAAAAACATGTAAATCAAAATTTAAAACTTTGTAGAACATTTATAAATATTCCACGAATTTAAGTATATGTTGATCAAATTTTAAACATTTTAATCAGATTTCTTAAATTTTCCGAGCATGCATTTTTGTAGTCCACTCAATTTTAGTATAACAAAGTGCAGGTTCGAAGTAGTTTGGTCTTACCGCTGATTTTTGTCAATTTTGTGTTCACACATTTTCTTACATACAAAGTATGTACGACATTTTTTTTGTATGGACAAAATGAGCAAGAACTTCCAGGAAAAATTACCAAAATAAACGATAAGACTTAAAATTGGGCAACAAAACTGCATAAATACTCAGAATGTTTCTAAGAAATATATACGTCCCGATTTTAAAAAAATATTCAGCGAGACAATTTCATCCAAATCGGTACGAATGGTCTCCGTAAGTATATGATCAATCCAACAGATAAACAAAATTCCCAAATATGGCAAAGATATATGTTTTTCCACTGTCTTTTTGTATACCAACTGTATGAAATGATAAAACTTTGATTGCGGTTTCCCACAAAACTTAAATTTTGACTAAATTCGTTATATTATTAAACTTACGATATATATATATACATACGCATCACGTAGGTGCCACGAAATTTTCAATAAAAGACAGTATTTATTATTTAGAGAACCTTTTTTCTCATACATATTATTCGAAACAATTTTTTTTTTTTAGATAGACTCCCCTCGCTCTCATGGCCCCAAACAGACTTATCGTGGTACTTCAAACCAAGTTCATAGATACGAGTATGAAATCAAATAATATGCAAGGGTAAAGATACATATGAAATTAAGAAAAAACCGGATAAACCGGTTTTATTCTATATATTTTCTCTACAGTAACACTTACGCAAAGCATAGCGGATAAAGATTTTCTGGACTGAGTCCAACTAGGAAACTGTCTATCCGAAGAGTTATTATGACTCAATATATGTATACCCCTGAGTCTGAAGTATTTTTGCAAACCATTACGAAAAAAAAATGTTGTTTGCCAAACCTAGGGGTAGATTTTTTACTGTTGTTTACATAGATCTACTGGAATAATTAAAATACTTCCTCAGCGAAAGTTTTATGATTTTTGGTGAGCTTTAATTTACTGTTACATAGCGTATTGGTTCGGAACCAGAAATGGATAAGAATACATTTTTTAAGAGAACAGAAAGTGTCCTTATATAGGCTATTTATGATTTCCATGATAGGAACACTTATAACTACACCAGTGGCAGTACTTTACACCTCATTGCTTCTATTGCCGACGGACCTATCGGTCATGAATTTAGTGTCATAAACTGCTACGAGGCAGTTTATGTGCAGGTCCTACGGACACAGAGGAGACCAATGAGGAGACCGGCAGCCTTGCCGAAGAAGGCGCCCTGTGTGCAATTATGCTGATAAAGAAGTGTCGATTCCTCTTCAAGCGATCTTAATTATGGCCTGCGAAGCCACGCAGTGGCTAGCCAGCTACCTAACCACATTTACTGGCACTGAGATCTGGTGAGTAAGGAAGGGATACTTGAGGTTAATAAACGTTGTAATAAAAAAAAAAAATGATCTTTATTGTCTTGCAAATATACTTTAGACTGACGTGATTTATGTATTTAAGTTATTTAGTGGTCAACTGTTTGTGTAATTTTCGTAGATTGTCGAAAGTCGAACCTACGAATATCCCTGCAAAAAGGTTTAATGGTAATTATAGACTTTAAGTGATAAGGACTGTTCCAATGGCCGTTGCATAATGCGTAAACAAATAGCGTGGTTGATTTGATAAATCGCGATTACTGTAAAAAGATTCCGCAAACCTTCAATGCCTGCTCTGATACTTGTTGGTTGCTATAGCAAAAGCAAGTTGAATCGGAAATTGGCGGCGTTTAAAGTTATGCTAAAAATCATAATCGCAATTTGAATTATTGTTTTGGTGAATCTAAATGCATTCATGTTTATACTACGTCGTTCATTAACTTCTTCGCCGCAAGTCTGATGCTATTCCAAAGGCATAGTTGATTGACCTTGCGCGGCTTTCAACTGTAGATTGTGCACACAGTAAAAAATACGACTTATTTAATTTAAAACATTGTATCAATTAAAAGATCTTAAACGAAAATGATTAAAAATACTGCAATTGGCGCTTCTTACATTTTAATAATGCTAAGTGCTTGCCCGGGTTTCTCCTTCGATTTTGGTTGAGCGCCTTGATGGTTGTCAAACAACTATAGAGACCTAGCTTGTGTGTTAACATGTTTCTTGCTTCCAAGCGTTGACGAAAGTTAAAAAACAAGCCCGGAAGTGAATATCCAGCTGGATAAGGCCCTGGTTGGTTTTCTGAGGAGATAACTTGAAACGCACTCCTTAAAACTCTATTCAAGGTTTAGTCTCGCAAAGATCTGACCATTGCAAAAGAATGTCCAGTGGCGGGTCCATAAATACTCCACCCGTTTTGAATTCCATCCTTGATCTGTCTGTGTACCAATGTACATATCGTCGTTTAAAGTACAAAACCACTACTATTTTGGTGGCACTCCTAAAACTCAAGAAATCTTACAAACATTTTTTTTGTTGGGGCGTGATACCGCCTAATGTAAGTGCATGCATACATCGTTCTTTATATAATTATAGTGAAATTATAATTACATATTAACAATTAGTTTCAGTTCTAATATAGTACTCGTTAATTTGGCTTGTTTATTGCGAAATCCGTTAGCAGTCAATGACGATCATGAAAATAATCGCTTTTAATTTTACAATTACTTACCTTACTAAACAAAAACACTAATGAATTAAAGACGGTCTGAGGGCAAAAGTACGCTTTATTTGAAATTAAATTCGTAGTGACAGTCTATGTATATTAGTGAGCGGTTGGGCGGCGGGGCGTATGTGTAATCTGTAAATTTGCGCTTTGATGTTGCATTTTATTTCAATTATCAAAATTATTATTGTGACAATATATGCCAACCGCTTCTATGCATTTGCAAATAATTAAAAATAATAATATTTTTTCTCACATCTCGCAGGTTGCACGCGAATATGACAAGTATTTATGTGCATTGAAAGTGGATCCGAAAACTAATTCTACGGTGATGGAGGTAAAGGAACCGAATGCGCTCTATACAACCGATGTGATTGCAATCACCGCTTATGGCATACAGGCGAACAGCCTTAATGACCCCAATGGCATTTTCCGCAAGAGTGGCAAGAAGATTTTCACCTTCACTTGGCTGCGTGCCATGGAGTTCAAAGCTTTCTTCTTTTTACCCATCTTGGTGAAAATATTCCGCTTCAAAGTCTTCTCCGCAGAAACGACAGTCTTCCTACGCAACACCATCAATCATGTTATGGAGGAACGCATTCGCACTGGTGCTGTACGCAATGATCTCATCGATACTTTGATTAAATTCCGACGTGAAGCAGAAGTAGAATTGAAGGAAGGTAAAAAACCATTCATTTTGGAGCGAGACGCTTTGGCGGCTCAAGCAGCTATCTTCTTCTCGGCTGGCTTTGAGACCTCATCATCAACCATGTCTTTTACAATGTTCGAAATGGCGCGTCATCCCGAAATGCAGCAACGTTTGCGCGAAGAGATGCGCACAGCTTTGCAGAGTAATGACGGCAAAGTGACCTACGAACTGATAATGGGTCTCAAGTATATGGATAATGTTGTTAAGGAAGTGCTACGCCGTTATCCGCCATTACCTTTCCTCGATCGCGTATGCACGCCGAAAGCGGGAGAAAAGGGTTATTCGCTGAAGGAATTCGGCATTGATTTCGTTGTACCTGAAGATATGCCTATCTACATACCAAATCAGGCTGTACAAATGGATCCAAGGGTGAGTGCTTGTGTTTGGAAGCCGACATTTTGTTTATCTTATGCTTAAAAAGCTTTTATGACACTTTTACTTAAACATTTTCTTTTTATATTCTTTTAGAATTTCAAAGATCCCGAGCAATTTAATCCCGATCGTTTTCTACCTGAAAATAAGCAAGACAACAATATGAATGCATATATGCCATTCGGCACTGGCCCCCATAATTGTATTGGTGAACGCTTCGCAATGATGCAAACAAAGTTGGGATTGCTCTACTTCTATCGCAATCATTATGTAACGGCTTGTGACAAAACGCCGCAGAAAATTCAATTGGATCCACGTGCTGTTATTATCCAGTCGCTTGGTGGTATTCACGTGAATGTTGTACGGGATCCGTTATTTTGAGTGCGATTTAGAAATACAAAAAATTGCAGCTCTTTTTCTGTTTGTGGGTTAATTTATAACCATTGTGTGGCTGTGAAATTGCATTGTAGTAATAATACACTATTGTAATTTTGTTTCTTGTTTGTTATTTACATATTTACATATATTGTGAATAAATTAAAAATTATCACAGTAATTTTTTTTTAATACTTAAAACACAATGACTTATAATTAACAATATCAGCATAACTCATCCTTGACAAACTTCAAATATAGCTCACTTTCAGCTTCTAGCATGAAACGCTTGGGATCAAATCGAATTTCGTTGACTGTTCTCTCGCAGACCTCAACGCGATATTTTCTTAAAATATATGTTAGTCCCAGCTTGACTTGCAATATTCCCAGTCGACTGCCTACGCATCCATGTGGACCCGCACCAAAGGGTATGTAGGTCATTGGTTTAATGGAGGGTAGATTTTCAGGCGCAAATCTTTCGGGATCGAAAAATTGTGGATTGGGCCAATACTGAAAAAACACAAAAGTAAAAATACCATTAAAATAAAAGACCACAGAATTTCATTGAGTGGATAGCCTATATGGTGTTACTAAAGAAATTTTTAAGGATTTGTTTCGAGTTTGTTGGGTTATAGGGCTTAACATAACTACAAGACACCCACGTATTGCCACGTTTTGACTAGTTTTTAATTTAAGTTATATTTTTTTATGAAAGACTAGTTAATTCAGTAACAAAAAAACACATAAATTCAAGTTTTAAACTTTGTTAAAAAAATCTACAAAGTTTCATCAAAATTATGCATAAAATCCGTTTTAGAATTTTTAAGAAAATTTTTGGGTATGCAGTTTTATTCCTATTCATTTCTAGTATGATAAAATTTTCTAAATGATAATTTTTAATTTTTTTTTTTTTTTTAATTTCTAGTATGATAATTTTTTCAAATGATCAATCCTAAGTATATGAGCGAATCGCATGACTTGTTACATTTTTCGACGAAAAGGTGTTTTTGGTCAAAAACGGTGGTACACTTATCATAAAGAACAAGATTCCACCGCGAAATTGTATTTAATTTAAAACTTAAAAAAGATGTACTAAAAAGTAAAAATATCAACTCGTACTTATGTACCCGCAGGTGTGTATGTAATGTATACGCCCCATAGCACATTATCTAGCCTGTGATTTATCAGACATTATTAATGGTACAGTGTAACGTTTTTTGCGTTAAACAATTTTTTAGTTAACTTCCTCACTCTCAAAAGTTGGCAAAACACATTTTCCTTGTGAATCATGTTTTCAGTGACTCAATACTTCTAAGTTTTTTATATTTATTTTATGAAAGCGCGGAATTCATTCAAGAAACTCTGTAATGCAAACAGGAGCACTTGCATAGAACAATACTTATCAATATTTAAATAAATAAAATTGTATTATTTATATCGGTTCTAATCCAAGTCTTTTTTGTGCTTGATTAATTTCTTTTTTATCTTTTTTACATAAACTTTTAAAAACCCTGCCACTCAGGGCCACACTTAATTTTTTTTTTAATGAAATCCCATTGCCTGTAGATTAAAACAATATATATTATAGCTGCACATTTTTGCGCGGTTATTCCATACACGCCCGCTACTAGCCACTTTCACCTGTGTAATTAAATCTTGAAATGCAGTTTAACCAACTTCCCGATGAGGTACACTCTAAAATATCTATTTAAAAATGCGATTATAAATCGAGTATATTTTTGTTTATTTTTTTAATTCTTAAGTAAATTTACACGATGAATATGTATTTTTCTCGTTTACACATTTTCGTCTGTAAAAACCTTTTTTGTTAGCGACTTTACACAATTCTACGGGTGAAATCAAACAGCAGGTGGGTAGTTTGTAGCTTGTACACACTTTCGTAGTAAACTTATGCATACTACAGCAGCTATACTACACTCCAAAAAGTCCGAAATTTAAACAAACTATTCGCTGAAAAATCGGCATGTAATTTCACGAATAATAAGGTAGGAAATCAGTACCTTAAAGCTAGGAAATTTACACAATTTTTTTTAGAGTGTTGAGACTTGAAACGGCAAACGTAGCTCAGAACCCGATGACAATCCAATATGAAAGATGAACTAATCCGCTATGTGGCGCAGATATCGATATATTATTATTTTTTATTAACTAACAGGTATTTCATACATCTGTTGGTTGGATGTGACGGAAGTTGTATTTTTAGCAAAAAACGCTACCAAATTGCAGCCTGCATCACTAAATCCATATAAATTAAAGTTTCAAACTTTGTACAAAATTTTGGAAAATTCAACAAATTTTCGTGAAAATTTGTAACTTCTTAATCTGAGTTTTTTAGAAAATTAGCAGTTTTATAGGTTATGAAATTTTAGTATGATAATGGGCAAGCTTGGAGAGGTTCAAAATTCGCGTTGATTTTTTTAACTTTATATCTGAACTATCGCATTTTCTTCCATAAGGACATGAATTTCTTAATAGGTAAGAAATTTTTATGAAAATTTGTTGAATCTTCCTAGATTTTTTATAGAGTTTCGCATTTTAATTTGTGTGGTTTTGGTGATAGCATGAACAATACCTTTATGGAAATTAGCATAAAGATTTTATCTTCAAAAACATTTTGAACATTTAAAGAAAATCATGTGAACGCTTATTTGAGTTGCTGTGTAAGTTCTTCTACTACAAATACTAATTTTGCTTAAACACCCCATGAATTAAATGCAAATACAGTTGTTACCGTGTTTATATCAACTCATTTTCTTGTTTTTAGTTAAAATATAGCTTAAATTCAGCCGTACCATAGCTACAAACATTTTAATAAAAATCTATTTATTTTATAAAAAACAAATTTTCGGCACATGAATTTTTCAAAATACAAACCTGAGTAATTTAGTAAAAAATTGATAGTAAAATACCGTAGAATTTGTACCTTTCAAAAATACCAATACAGGGGAGGTCGCGTGGTTATTATCCGATATCGCAAAGGTTCCAAAGAATTTCTGAATGGGGCTAACAGTAATGAGTGTACTAAGTTTGGATGAAACCGGTTAGGTGGGTACACATATTTCATGATAATGGGGTTTGACCACGCCCATTTAAAACAATTTATTAAATACTAAATTTTGTGCTAAAAGTTCACCCTATATATAAATTTTTAGTAATTTGGCTGCGGTAAGTTACTTAAATATCGCAGTTTTTGTTTTTTTTTTTCAAAAATACCGTTACATGGAAAACGAGTTTTCAGATTTAGCAAATCCTGAGAAAATTGCCTTTTTACAAGCTTTTTTTATAGGTAGGCTTGATATTGTCAGTAGTGAACTATTTAACATTTGAAAGGGAGAACCAAATCAAGAGAGGAGATAAGAGGGATGGTAAACAGCCTTTGTTGCTGCAAGGCAGCTCCTTTTAACTTTTCAGCAGACAAGTAAGGAAAAAAAAATATAAATATTTTTCAAAAATAGCGACTGAAGAAATAGTTTTTATAATTAAGTCACATTCTTTTCTTTAATATAAATATTTAGCAAATAACTGGTTTCAATTAAACCACAAATGGAAACATGACCTCTCGGTCGCCAATGGTTAAAATTTTTTGTCAATATTATTGTGGCTTATTAACATTTTATTTAATAATGTTATTAACCTTTGTACCGCGATTGTGTTTATTTAAAAATTTAAAAAGCAATAAAGTATAAGCGGTAGAAGATATAGGTACTATTGCGAAGATCACCACATCTCCTCATCAGACTTCTTTTTTTCTCGACTTCAGCAGGGATGCAACATCAATGTGCTTTCTTTAACTGATTTGACAGGCTAACCCGCAAAAGCAAAAACACAACAAAAAAATACGTGTGAATTTTGCTTTTGGATTATTGCCATCCCCTTGTATTTATGAATCCGCTTTCTATTTTTTTTTTTTAATTTGCCTTAACTGCAGTTTATGCCTATTGCAAAAAAAAAGATTACAACTCGAAGGGGGTAATTGTTTATAATGAGTACAAGCAATAACTGGCTATGCTAAAAATTTACACTCCTGCTTAAATTCCAAAAGTCATTGTGAAAGTTTTTCAACACACTCTGAAATGGAATCATAAAAAAATTAAAAAAAAAAAAAAAAAAATAAAGTGTCTCATCAAACTGTAGTCTGCATCTTTTGTAATAATGCTTAGAAGCAGCGCCGGATTAAGGGCAGGGCCGACGGAAGAACAAAAAAATAATTTTTCAGAGATGACAGAAAAATCTCACAATTGTCAGCACAATCAAGATATATGTATCTTTCAGAACTTAGCTTAGCTTCTTCTGGCTCTGGCGAGATTCTCTACTAACACAATGATGGAAATTCCTGTAGGATGCTAGACTAATGGCTAAGAATGACCCCCGGACATATCAAAGAATACGGAAATAAGGGCGAGGGCAAGTGAATTATTTATCCTCAGCAACCTGCAAGGAAATAAAAAGTACAGGCAGAGGTAATAAGCCGGATTAAAAAGACACAATATTCGTACTATTCCTTCTCTTTTCATATACGAGACTGCCGAGCTCAGTCGTTTAATACTGGATGCAATATGAGCGGCTAGTACAAAGGAACTCAAGCGAGATTTTCAGAAGAAAACACGTGGTTAGAAGTGAATTAACGGTACTATTAAAATGAAAAATAAATAAATAAATAAAATATGAAATATATTATTTTTCCAATTAATAGTATGTAATTATTAACTCAAACACATTAACACATGTATAACGGCTCCGGTTCGCCATATTCTTAATCCGGCCCTGTTTAGAAGGAAAGTACTATAGCAATTCGGAAGCCCGATGGCGTTTGATCGAGAGCTCTTTGCAAAAGACGCCAACATCCACTATATGCATGTAGTTCTCTCTTAAAACGTAGGAGCTGAAGCCTCCTGTCTCAGTGTCGATTTGAACTGATCCATTCCATCTGGCATGCCTTGGTGACTGTAGTTTTCATAAAGGGTACAATGCCGATACCAGCAGCTTTGCCTGCTTGGTTCAGTTATTTTCGGATCTTCGTATTCTCTACAGGCAGTAGCGTATATAACAGGGGGTGATGTGTAGATAATTCGAACAGGAAAAAATATTGGACATTGGTTTAATTTTTTGTAGTATTTCCTCAGTGTTTGCTTTCTTACAAGAATCCTATGCCGATATTTGATAAAATAAAGTCTAGTAAAACCATTGTTTGAGACAAACGAGTTACATCTGTTCTCGAATTTAGCAGCCCATCTTAAAACCAGTTCTCAGTGCTTTTTCACACAGGACATCTAAGAGCTTTCCCCTAAAAATTATTACCTCACCATCTAAATTGGGGCAAAGGTCGATTGGATCATGAAGAATTTAACGGTACTCTTAAATTTGTGTATGAGAATTGAAGTTGGTTTTGTTTTTTGCTTAAAAATTACTTACATAACGTTTGGTAAAAGGAAAATACAATCCGCGTTACTTACCTTTGAATCTCTGTGTATGCCTAAAATGGAGACATACGCTGGGACGTCTTTGGGTATAATTAGATACTTGGTTTCCTTATCGTACCATAACGTTTGCTGTTGGCTATGTGGCAAGCACTCTCGATTTATAAAAGGTGCTGTCGGATAAAGGCGCAGTCCTTCGGCGACAACCATATTAAGATATGGCATATTCAACACTTTTTTGTAGCTTACATTACAACTCTCTGTACTAGTATACGCAGCTAACTCAGTTTTTAATTTCTGCTGAATTTTTGGCTGCTTCGCCAATTCAAATAAGATGAATGCAATCAGCGAAGAGGATGTCTCAAAGCCGGCCAACAGGAAAATGCCAACCTGCGCAGCTATAAAGTCAGGATGGCGTAGCCAAATGTTAAGTGGTGTGTCAGCTAAAGTCTGTTGCATTTTCAACAATAAATCGATAAGATCGCCGCTATCTCGGTCATAATTGCCCTCTTTTTTTATATGTTCCTTAACAAGTCGCCGCAAATAGTTTGAGTATTGGCGTGTGAAGAGTTTTGAATTAAGCGCACGCACTGCTCTGGGCAGAAAAAATATCACGAAAAAATCTATAATCTTACGCAGACTAGGTCTGAACAATTGTTTGCACTGCGCGCGCATTTCACAGCCGTCATTGCGTAAGCCTCCAGTATCGACACTATACAGTAACTCAGCTGTGACGTCTGTGGTGTAAAGCGCGCACATTTCCTTGACCTCTATAACAATGGCACCGCTGGCATCAGCAGTGGAATGTGCATATTTTTGTATTAATTTACGCGTGATATACCCTTCTAGCTGCTCAGCGATTGTTACAAGTTTCGGATACATTTTCTTCTTGATATGTCCAGTGGTGAAGAGCTTCGAGATCTCTCGCCGACTTTTACGCCAGATAGCATATTTGGCTAAGGGTAGCGTCAATGCGCCCATCGGATCACTCTGCAGCTCCGCAGCCTCAAAACGATTGGGAAAACTATTAAACTCTTTGATTAACAGCTGTTCAATCAATTGTGGATCGCGTATAAGTAACGCCGGTGTATGTAGTATGAAGAAACCAAAAAATGGCGCCGATTTAAGAGACGGTTCAGCGTAGAGTGAATGGAAATAATCGCCAAAAGATGTGCGTAGTAGCAGCAGTGGCTTCAAATTACCCAAAAACATGGTGGGCTGGAGGAAGGGAACCTTACGTCGATGCCAATAACGATAGCGGTAGAGGAGCCATAGTTGCAGTAGTGTAGCGGTGATGAGGAAAAGCGCGAGTGGAAATAGCGGCAAGGAATTGAAAGCTGACATGATGTGGA